AGCAGCAAAGCAAAGTCTAGACCCTGAGCCCTTCTTTCCCCTTACAGAAGGCTAACAGCCCCTCTCAGCTCTTGGCCAATCAATCCAATCAACCCACAGATATGTGGTGCCCATTTTTTGGATGTATAAAGCACTATGCTAGGGATTTCATGGAGAGGCATGAAATCCAGAGTCCATTCCCTACAGACCTATCATGAGCGGTAAGATCTCTGTTTATAAGATACACGGGGCCAGGCGCCGTGGCTCAAGCCTGTAATCCCAGCACTTTGGGAGGCCGAGACGGGCGGATCACGAGGTCAGGAGATCGAGACCATCCTGGCTAACACCGTGAAACCCCGTCTCTACTAAAAAAAATACAAAAAACTAGCCGGGAGAGGTGGCAGGCGCCTGTAGTCCCAGCTACTCGGGAGGCTGAGGCAGGAGAATGGCATAAACCTGGGAGGCGGAGCTTGCAGTGAGCTGAGATCCGGCCACTGCACTCCAGCCTGGGCGACAGAGCGAGACTCCGTCCCCAAAAAAAAAAAAAAAAAAAAAGATACACGGGGCCGTGCACGGTGGCTCATGCCTGTAATTCCAGCACTTCGGGAGGCCAACGTGGGCAGATCATCAGAGGTGAGGAGTTCGAGACCAGCCTGGCCAACATAATGAAACCCTGTCTCTACTAAAAATACACATAAATAAATAAATAAATAAATAAATAAATAAATAAATAAAAATTAGCTGGGTGTGGTGGCGGGCGCCTGTAATCCCAGCAACTCGGGAGGCTGAGGCAGGAGAATCACCTGAACCCAGGAGGCAGAGGTTGCAGTGAGCCAAGATCAAACCACTGTACTCTAGCCTGGGCAACAGAGTAAGACTCCATCTCAAAAAAAAAAAAAAAAGGCAGAGCCATGTAAGAGTAGCAAATGCACACCAGTGGTGGGATCCCAGGAGAGCAGAGGGAGGAAGAGGACTACAGGGTGGTGGGCACCAGCAAAAGCTTCTGGGAGGAGCCAAGGGTTTTAAAGGGGGATGGAATCAAGGGGCCGAGAGGAGGAGAGAGGCATCCTGGATCGAGAATACAGGACATGTGAGCGAAGTCACAGGAAGGCAAGTGCGGGGGCGAGGCAGACTCACAGCAGGCTTCTCAGGCTGGAGGGACAATTTCCCGTGGGGGAACAGGAAGGAGAGGAGGCTGGAGCCAAGGCTAGGGTACCTACAGGTTGCAGAGGCCTTGAATGCCGGGCAAGGGAGCCTGGACTTTCACATAAAGGCACCAGGAGCCAGTGAAGGTGTTAGGAGTGAAAGGTGTTGGGGTGAAGTCAGTGAAGGTCCTGCCCCGATGGGGGTTTGCAGGGTGACTGGAGGAAGACTGCCACCAGAGGCCATCAGTCTGGGGGCTGCTGTAGCCACTGCAACAAGGCAGAAGGAATGCTTTCCCCTGAACTGCTCACGGATTGGGGTGAGATGCTTCCTGAAGGCAGGGGAACGAATTGCAGGGCTGGCTACACGTTTCCATTTTGATTTTGATAGAGGTGGGCAGACTGAGTGGCCTGGATCCCTGGACCCTTGGCCTTGAGGTCTGGCTCTCAGGATTGGCTCAGTCTGAGGGTGGAGGCTGACCAGATCAAAGCAGCTCAGGAACCCCCGTTCTCTCCTTCCACAGGGAGTTGGTTAGTGGCTACTGAGCCCTGGGCAGGGAGGGGGATGAGGGAGGAGCAGATTTTGCAGCCATGGGGGAGGGTTCAGCATCAGGTGACATTCCGGTGGCCTCTGCCCAAGGCCTGCTTCCGGGTACACTTCCAGAGCGATCACCCATGGGCAGCCGGTTGTGGTGAGTGACTGTTTCACTCGCCTGCTCCCTGGCCCTGGTTTTCTGCTTCTTAACGGGCCCCGATGGGACCAAAGTCCTTTCAAAAAACTGGGCAGTTCCCGCTGCTCCACACAGAAAGTCCTATGAGCCTACGAGAAAAAGAGATTTGGCCAGACACGGCAGTCAGGGCAGTAACCAGTTAATATGAGCCTGGGAGCAAGGAGAGGTGAAATGCTAACTGTTTACCAGCAGCCTGCTGTGGGTTGCAGGGCACCCAGCCACCTAGCACAGGATTCCAGGCCCCAACTTGTCAGGAAGCAGGAGCCCCACCCTCAGCCCCGCGAGGGACTATTCCTCCCCCACTGGGGCCTGGCTGTTCGACCTGGGGCCCTCCACTCCCCAGGCAGAGGGAGCAGGCCTTCGACTCTGTGGAGGAGGAAATGGTTCCTGTTGGAGATTCTGCAGGCTGAGACTGCAATCTAGAATTCCTGCTGCCCAGGCAAACTGGGAAGTCCCTCAAAACAACACAACTGACCTTTGGCTCTCTCTGGATAGGCCCCTCCATGCCCCAAGCCGGGGTGCCAGAGCCTCCTACCCTCACCTCTGATGCAGGGCATTGCAGCCCCAGGGGAGGCGACTTCTCCAGTAGGCACTGGGGCTTGCCTGCTTCCCAGAAAGTGGGGTACGGGAGGCAGGGTAGGGGTGGTGCTGTTTGCAAGGCTGCTGGTGTGAGGGGAAGATCAGCCGTGGCCAGCCACAGAATAACGGATATTCTACAAGCATTTACTGAAAACATTTACCCACACCCGTCTGAGTGCCAGATGCCAGGGAAAACAAGATGAGTGAGACGTGTCCCTGGCTCTCTAGAAGGGCACAGTGTAATTGGAGAAAAAACCAATTTAGAAGGCTAATTATGATACACTAGGAGAAATGATAAATAAATGAATGCGTAACAGGCTGTGGGTAAAAAGGGCAACTCACAATGGGTCTTTCGTGGGAAGGTGTGGATTGCTTCGCAAAGGAAGGAACATTGGAGCTAAGCTTTGGGGCAGGGGAGATTTTTAAAAACTTTTTATTCACACAGAAAAAGGAGGGTGAGAGGCATAAAATGTTCGAGGTGGAAGGAACATCACAGGTGAAGCCTCAGAGCATGGCATGGCAAAGCTATTCCAATCACGGTGAAACAGAACAGAAAGAATGCCAGCTTCTGCAAGAGTTGGGGTTAAAAACCATTAGGCCAGGCGCGGTGGCTCATGCCTGTAATCCCAGCACTTTGGGAGGTGAGGGAGGGAGGATTGCTTGAGCCCAGGAGTTCCAGACCAGCCTGGGCAACATAGTGAGACCCCATCTCTACAAAAAATACAAAAATTAGCCATGCGTGACGATGCACTCCTATAGTCCCAGCTACTCGAGAGGCTGAGGCAGGAGGGTTACTTGGGCCTGGGAAGTTGAGGCTGCCCTGAGCCGAGATCGCAATACTGCACTCCAGCCGGGGTGACAGAGTGAGATCCTGTTTCAAAAATAATTAATTAATTAATTAATTAAAATTTAAATTATAAATAAAAACTGGTAGACCTGTCAAGGCTTAGAGGGAATGACAATCACACCAGGAAAGCGGAGGCTGATCGCTGGCTCCCTGTGAGCACCTGGCTTGTGTGAGGAACATTCCAGACACAACTTCATTCTGGGGGTGATATCATCCCAGTTTTACAGTTGAGGAAAGCAGGGCTCAGAGAGATAAGACCACTCACCCAAGTCACACAGCCGGCAGGTGGCACAGGTGTTCTCACCCCTGGGCCTTGTCAAGACCTCAGACATCTCTGAAGGAAGCTTTCCAACGAACAAAGGTGGTTTCTCACTCTGCCAGTAGGAACCCAACTCAGGTGGGGGGTGGAGGTAGTTGGGTGGTGGACACAGACATGCTTATCCGCAATCCAGAATCTTTTTCTTCCTTTTTATTTCATATATTAAAAAAAAAAAATTAAATAGGCTGAGCACAGTGGCTCATACCTGTAATCCCAGCACTTTGGGAGGCCAAGGCAGAAAGATCGCTTGAGCTCAAGAGTTCGAGACCAGCCTGAGCAACACAGTGAGACCCCATATCATTTTCTTTTTTGTTTGTTTGTTTCAATAGAGATGAAGTCTTTGTTGCCCAGGCTGGTCTCCAACTCCTGGGCTCAAGCGTTCCTCCCACCCAGGACTCCCAAAATGCTGGGTTTACAGGCGTGAGTCACTGTGCTGGGCCCCGAGATCTCTTTGAACAGTAGCACTCTTTGAACACTTCTCAGAGTGTAGTTTTTTGGTGAAAACGGAGTTCGCAATGGGTTCTACACCTACGGGGGTATTAAATTAAGGTGAAGGACATTTGGGGGCACAGAGGACCCTGTGGCTGGAGTTTTTCCGAAAGCAAAGCCACCTCCCACGAAACTTTCCTTCTAGCATCACAGGTTCGCTGTGTCCACAGCCCCCACCAGGGTCCGACTCATGGTGGAGGGGTCTCATGCCTTCTCCAACTCTTGCCTCCCCACTCTGAACCAGCACAGGCCCGTGGGATTAGAGCAGAGGCCAACAGGAACCCTGAAGGCTGAAGCCCATGTCATCCGCCCCAAAGGACTTGCTTTGTCCTTTAAAGGCAGATCCTGCCCCAGAAGTGAGATGGATTGAACACAAAAAGAGCAAACAGCTCTCAGGAAACCTCCCTACATTTCCACTGCCATCTACTATGCAGGGCTGGCGGTAGGCGGGCTCCACTGCTGGGGTGCCCAGGCCTCACATGCCCCAGCCTTTTCCCTGCCTGGGTGGGGAGGGAGGGGCCAAGAGTTGCCTTTTTGGAGAATCTAGGTAGGGAAAAGCGAGTCCCCAAGCTTGAAAATAAATTGAAACACACCTGCCAGATGCACAATTCATCTTTGGCTTCTTAAGGTCACAAGCAGTCTCGGAGACTATTTCCTTTCCACCTTCCTCTAGCTCTTATCTGGCTTTTCACATATGCTAATGAGCAGCCCCTCCCAGCACACTGTGTTCAGCACTGGTCGCCTGGTTCATGAGAACTAGTCCCAGCCCAGAGTCATGGATGCCCCTCGCTTAGGTCTGACCCGCCGTTTGCCTTTCTAGCGTGGGCACCCAACTGCTTGGACCCTACAAGCGTTTGCCTCCCTGGCATGGGGGCCTCTGAATCTTAGGGTGGGGGGGTGGAGCTACGGGAGGGAGCCCAAGAGTGAGGAACAAATCAGCAGCAGCACTGCGCCCCTCTTCTTGAAGAGACGTGAAACAATTCAGTCTCCGCCACCGCAGACCAGCCCGTGAAGGCAAGGCCAGGAAGGGATACAGGGTTCTAGAGAACCAGGGCCTCTCCGCCAGCTCCAGCCGCTAAGCAAACATTCCCTCCTGGAGTCAGAGAAGCCGGTGTGCGAGGGGAGGAACCAGCCTGAGGTTTATCGCTCCAGCAACTCCGGGTGATTCATAGAGTTTAGGCTCCCAGTTGTCTTACACCGGGGCAGGCACGCAAACAAGCAGCTCGGGAGATACCCACCCTTTTCCCTGCCCCCGCTCCTCCACCTTGCTACCCCCTAGCCCGCGACCAGCTACCTCCCCTCCCCCTCGCGGGCGCTCGGGGTTGAGCAAACACCGGCCGCCCGCCCCGCCTGCCCCGCCACCAGCTGGATCCGACCGGCGCGCCGCTGGCGATCCCCCAGGCAACTCGGCGTCACGAGAACAGGCACCCCGAGACTCGGCGCCCTGCCCTCCCTCCGCGTCCCCAGGGCCCCGGCCAGACCTAACAACCTCTCCCTCCTCCGTGCGCCTCGGCCCCTACGGGCCTCTGGCGCGGGCTAACTAGGCCTCGCGGCCGGTCCCTGGGACGGCGCACCCCACCCGCCGCGAGGCCAGCAGCCCCGGGGGAAGGCGGCCGGAAAATCTCCTCTTGTTTACGGGGCTGGAGAAGTCCCAGCCTAGATTCGCTTCCCAATTTCTGCGGTCCACCTTCAGCAGATTCCTGGGGCCGGAGGGGAAAGGGTGGCAACCCACAGATCCACCCCGGGACAGGGAGTGGGGGTGGGGCTGGTGGGAACCTGACCTCTTGGAAAGGTCCCCCGGCTGCTGGAGGGGACGGACTCGGAGTCAGAGCCGACGTGTCCCGGAGCGCAGAGACCGAGGGGGCCGCGCTAAACACTGTACCTCGGGGAACAAAACCGTGAAGGCTAATTAGGACAAGTCGGAGCAGGGAACCGGGACGCTGGGAGGGGAGCGCGCGCTCCGAATTGGGCAGAACCTGGAACGGTCGCAGGAAATCCGGGCGCGGGATAGTCGGGCCCAGGGCGACCTTTGCCCACGGTGCGGAGTGGCTCTGGACTCGGCCCACGCGTGAGGGGAGCACTTGGTAACGATCCCACGTACGCTTTGTGACCGGTGGGGGTTCCCAGAGAAGGACCGCGCGTGCAAAAGGCGAACCTCGGTGTGTCCACGTGTGCAAGCTGGGGAGGGGAGGGGACGCAGAAGGCGTGACAAAAAGACGGACTCTGTGTCTTGAGTGTGCGCCTCGCACCGGCCCGCTCCCAGCGAACTGTGCCCTAAGTGTGTCTCACGGGAGGGCCAGGACGAAGGTGACAAAGGCTAGGTGTCCCCCACGGAGACGCGTCAAGGTATCCCCACGCGTGTCCGTACGGGCGCTCTCTGGGAGACGCGGTGGGGGTTGCGCAGGGCTGCACCCCCACACCGCTTGCCCCGGAGAAGGCCGAGCCCAGAAAGTGAGTGCGCGTGAGTGTGCGCGCGCCCGCGTGCGGGGGCGTGGCAGTCAACAGCAACAAACCACACGCCGGCAGGGCCAGAAACTCCCATCTCCCTCCCTAGCCGGAAAGTGCGAGTCGGCCCAGCCTGGAGGTGAGTCGGGGCGGGGAGGCCCGGGCAGGCTTTGTTCCTGTGTAAACGGAGCGCACGTACCTGGAGCGCGACGGGCGCCCGATAAGCGCCCTGAATGGAGGTGATGTAACGGTGATGCAGGCGCCAGCCCACCCTCGCCGACAGCAAGGAGTCCTGCCTGGGGACAGGCCCGCGCGAGAGCGAGCGACCCAGCGCGCCCGGCTCAGCCTCGGTCCCGGGGAAAGGCAGGCCCTGCGTCCCGGCCCGGGTCCCGCCATCCCAGCCAGGACCGGGCCTGGCCCAGCGCTCCGCGCCGAATCCCTCCCACCCCCGCCCGCCGCCCGCCTGGGGCTGGAGTTGGCCCCAAAGGCTGTGCAGGAGCGGGGCCCGCGGCGAGTCCCAGGTAAGGGCTGCTGCCTTCCCGCTCCGCCCTCCCTCTCCGCCGTCCGGAAGAGTCGGGTCGGGCCGGCGGGGAGTGGGCGAGGGCAGAGGCGGGGGCTGGGACATCCTGCGGGCGGGGGACGCCGCACCAACTCCGCTCGGTTGCTGAAAGTTTTCAGACCCGAGCAGGCTGGGGGCTGGGGCTGGGGAATGGGGGATGGGAGAGCCCGGCGCTGCGGCTCAGGCTGGAGGGAGGGGAAAGGACTCCACGATCGGGGTCTCCAATGGGAGCCCCTCCACCGCCTGCCTCTCGGTGGGAGTCCGCGGTCACCCTCTCTTGTGGGTCGGCGTCCTCTCCGCCGCCTGCTACTGTGGATGGGGAGGGCAGGTTTCTGTAGCCCTAAAAATGGGAGAGAGAGACTGGTTCCCTTGCTCCCCATTCCAGCCATCCGGGGAGCGCAGGTGTAGACCCCAGTACCGTCGACCCAAGTAGGGACGAGAGGGCTCAGAATCTCCCTGAGGGAAGTTTGGAAATTCAGACTATCAAAGCGCCTCTCCTTCTGGCAGCCTGGCCCCTAGATCCCGAACCCCCACTCCCGGCTGGCTTTTCTAGCGTCCTTTGCACCTCCATCCTCAGGCCCGCAGTGTTAGACTCAGGAAGACCCAACCACTTACAAACTCCACGACCAAGATCCTAAAGTCCAGGGGAGGAGACTGTGTTGAAGTAGGGTTTTGTGCTCCTGGAGCGCCGGCCCCCCACCCCTGTGCCTTCAACTGTGACTAGGGGAGGGAGTGCCTTGGGGGCCGGGGCGCATTCCAGAGTAACATTCCAGGGCAGACCCTTGACGATTTCCACGTCTCAGAGTGCTCAGGGCATTTTGGCCCAAATGCCTGGTCTTGGTGCGGGGCAGGGATAGGAGGATAGAGGTGGGCTGTCTAGGCTGAGGTTCGAGCAACCCCTACCCTCCCCCCCGCCCACCAACCTACACACTGAGCCCACTCCTTCCAGGCACAGGCTTCTCCTGTGCGCCTTCTTATTGATGGGGTAAACGCCTGAGCGCCCTGGACAGAGGGGTGAGACCTAACCAGGGACTGGGAGAGAGGGATGGGAATGGAGGTAGGAAGGCTGTCAGTGAGGCCATCCTCTTTCCCGATAGGCTGTATAGTGTGTGGGATGGGAGGAAGGTAGGTGCTCTGTGGTATATCTGGGTGAACCTCCCTGGAGAGTGCCCTGGTCACAGCACCCTTGAAGACAGCCATTGGCCATGTGTCAGTGTTGAGCTTGGTTGGCCCTGTGACACGCTGGAGCTCTCTTTGCAGGGTGGTATCCTTTGCCCTGGTGGGTGGAGGGGGTCTCAGGCTTGTGTGTGGATGATGCTGGAGCGAGAAAGAGGGTTTTGCTCTGGAGAAGTGAGAAGGCCTGGCTGTCTCCCCTGTTGCTGGATGAAGCCACTTGTTGCTGGGGGAAACCAGTCAGGGCTGTTGGGCCTCAGCCTCTGAGCCCACCAGGCCTCTGCGCCCCCTGCAGAGAGAAGGAGGGAGGAGGGAGATTCAGCAACTGGACTGGACTGATTCAGAGGAGAGCTGGGGGCCGGGTGGCTGAGCCTGGGGAAAGGCCGATTTCAGAGGCGATTAAAAATATTTGTACAACTGATTCCAGGGAAGTGAAGCAAAAGGCCCTTTTGTCCAGAAAATAATCTGAGGCTGGGGCTGGGCTTCAGCTGTGGGATCGGGGAGACTCAGGGCAGAAGGAGGTTCCCCTCCTACCCCACTCATTGTACCCTCTGAGAATCTTTAAGCAGAAGATGCAACTCCAAAATGGAGGGGGCAGCCCTGGGTACGGATCAATGCACCTGAGACTATCCAGAGGTGACTTCCAAATGCTCAGTGTGTTCAGGCACAGCACCCGCTGTGGCAGTGAATTCTAGAATTCTTGTTCACCAGCTTCAAAGACCTTCCAGCCCTGGAAGGGAGACACGGATATGATTTGAATGTTCAGGGATCAGAAGGCTCAGTCTTAGTGCGGGATCTAGGGACCCACAGGAAGCAGAAGGTTCCTCCAGGGTCCTGAGGAAAAGCCTCTGACCAGAACTGAGTCCATCTTGTCAGTCCCTTAGCCACCATCTTAAAAGTGGCATTGGGCCAGGCACGGTGGCTCACACCTGTAATCCCAGCACTTTGAGAGGCTGAAGTAGGCACATCACCTTAGTTCGGGAGTTCGAGACCAGCCTGGCCAACATAGTGAAACCCTGTCTTTATTAAAAATACAAAAAATTAGCCGGGTGTGGTGGTGGGCGCCTGTAATCCCAGCTACTTGGGAGGCTGAGGACAGGGAATTGCTTGAATTTGGCAGTTGGAGGTTGCAGTGAGCCGAGATCACCGCCATTGCACTCCAGCCTGGGCGACAAGAGTGAAACTTTGTCTTAAAAAAAAAAAAAAAAAAGGTGGCATTGGCTGAATGTGCACTCCCGGCATCAGAGGGCTGGAGCTGTGCTCTTCTGAGCTTCTCTTAACTCTCTGAGGGTCCTTGTCCTAGGCAGTAGATGAGAGCCACGCCCAGAAGGCCTGGCTTTCTCACCTGAGTCATGCATTTCTGTCTTCCCACCTGCTCTTCCATTTCTGGGGGTACCAGAGAAATAAGGTCTTTCAGGATGGGACCAGGTTGTGTCCTCTGAGGCTATTTAGTTGCTCAGCAACTTCCTAAAAGCAGCAGCCTGGTACCCGGATGCGGTAAGGGGCAGATACAGATTCCTCTCTCATTCCCTGGAAGTTTCTATATTGAGGGGGTTGGCAGGAGAAGCAAGACTTGAAGGGTCAGGTGCAGAAGGAAGTTGCTGGTCACCAACCACAAAGTCGGGGAAATGGGAGGTGGGGGCTTGGGGACAGGGAGCTGTGATGCTTTCCTGACCCTGGCCCAAGTGCCTGTGGGCTTCTGGGAGCTGGCAGGGTACACGCAAGTATTTCTAGGGCAAGATGGATCAAGAAGAATGAGCGATATTGGTCCCTGGCTTGGTTTTCTGTAATGACATGCCTGTTAGATTTGAACTTGTAGTGTGGGCTTTAGCATCCTTTTCCCCCACCTCTGCCCACCAACAAGTCCTTCGATTGTGTTTTGGAAACGATCTCTCAGAGCTGGCCATTATGGCTTTACCTTTGGCCTTGACCTTTAACTGAGATGAATGTGCGCCCCCCCCCCCCAACAAACCGATTGCCTGTGCATTTTTCCCAGACTCATTTATTAAAAGTACAGCCCTGGCTATGCCCCCATCATGCTGAAAACAGCCTTCGGTGGCTGACTGTTACCTTTAGAATAATGCCCCCAGCCCCACCCCTGTAGCATTTCCAATGTGTCAGCCAGCAGCTGCAGCCTCCCTTTGCAAACTCAGCTGATACTTAGCAAACTGAATTCTTTTTTCACTTGCTCTGGACTTGGGCTCAAAAGGGCTTTGATTCACACCGTCTTTTCTGCCTTACACGTCCCTCTCCTTGTTCCCTTCACCTGCTCAGCTGTTCCTCACATTCTTCAGGGCTTAGCTTCTGGGTGTCCCTGTCTCTTGGCGGTGTCTGGGACCTGGTATGTTTTTGATTAGATTCTGAGTAAAACTCTGTGGAACAGTCTTTCTCTGCTCTGCCTGTTTCTCTTCTGTGTCCCTGTAGCCCCTGTCTCTCTCCTACAGGTAAATTCCATTGTGTGGCCCTTAATCATATTCTTCCTTGTATAATTTTTGTGAGTACCTACCTTATCTCTCCTGATAGATTTTAAATGCCATCAAATCAGGGACTATGTTCATGTTTGTATTTTCCACAGCTCTGGGAACAACAGGGCCTTTCCTTCCCAGGCACACAGTCAATATTTGCTGATTTGGAGTAATTGCCTGCTGTAAACTGGGCCCTGGCCGAGGGAGGTGGGGTGAAAAGCCCTTGTAAGTACAGGTGCCTGGAGGCTAAGTGGCAGTTCTGAGGGTTCTCTTCCCTACGTCCAGCTTCAGGCCCAAGCCCAAGTTCTGGCTGATTGGCTGTGGAGCCCAAGATGAAGTTGAACATTTAGGACCCCACAGAATGTTGTTATCCATAAATTATGTCCCGGGAGTGGCTCCATATTACTCCTTACCTTTTTTTTTTGTTGTTGTTGTTTTGTTTTGTTGAGACAGAGTCTCGCTCTGTTGCCCAGGCTGAGTGCAGTGGCGTAATCTCGGCTCTCTGCAATCTTCTGCCTCCCGGGTTCAAGTGATTCTTCTGCCTCAGCCTCCTAAGTAGCTGGGATTACAGGCACATGCCACCACGCCCGGATAATTTTTGTATTTTTAGTAGAGACGAGGTTTCAGCATGTTGGTCAGGCTGGTCTGGAACTCCTGACCTCGTGATCTGTCCGCCAAAAGTCCTGGGATTACAGGTGTGAGCCACTGCGCCCGGCCTACTCCTTACCTCTTAGCCCTCTCTTACTCCTCTTTCCAGCACTTGTAAATAAAATACAGTTGGTGCTTTATTGATTTCCAAAGTCCCCTACAGAAGCTTATTTAAGTCCTGCATTAGAAGTGAAGAGAAACTAGCTGTTACAATGCCAGTTATTTAGGAAAACAACAGTACATTTGCATGAGATGGTTAATTTTAAGAGTTACTCTTAAGCAAGCTTAATTGAAAGATGAGGTAGCTGAGATGGCTAAGACGACCTAAATATTTTCAAGTGGCCTGCAGACTGTTTGAAGGGACTTTGACAATGGATCCTCTTTATTGTGTCCATTTCACTGAATTTTATGAGTTTCATTGCCCCTGATTTAGTAAGTGTTCTTTCACATATCAATTATGGACAGAATTTTTTTTTTTTTTTTTTTGCTTCTGTGCTGAAAAGAGGGACAATTTCTATCAACTGTGGGATTTAGGGCTTTTGTTTGCCTATTAGAAATTAAGTAGCCAGGAATGGTAGAAAACAGTAAGGAGGTAAACCGTGTATAAACAACCTCACAATCCCCCTAAGAAAGGAAGAAGGGTAGCAGCCTTACAGAATACAGTTAGATAATGCCATTCCCCTGCCAGCCACTAGTGGTCACTGTCAGACCAGGAAAGCTTTGTTGCCGTATTCCCAGAGAGTTCCTGATGAAGCGGGGTTACAACTAGTTATTTCAACACGGGGTGACTTAAATGTGGACTACCTGCATTCATAGAATTTTGAAATGTATAACCTGCTTCTTAAAGCATTTAAGATTTCTCTCCTTTTCTTTTTTTTTTTTTTTTAGTTTTCTTTCTTTTTTTGGAAACAGTCTCGCTCTGTTGCCCAGGCTGCAGCACAGTGGTGTAATCACAGCTCACTGCAACCTCGATCCCCTGGGCTCAGATGATCCTCTGACCTCAGCCTCCCAAGTAGCTTAGACTACAGGCGCATGCCACCACACCCTGCTAATTCATATATATATGTTTTGTTTTGTTTTCTTTTGTTTTTATATGGAGTCTCACTCTATTGACCAGGTTGGAGTGCAATGGCACGATCTTGGCTCACTGCAACTTCCACCTCCCAGGCTCAAGTGATTCTCCTGCCTTAGCCTCCTGAATAGCTGGTATTATAGGCGTGCACCTCCACGCCCGGCTAATTTTTGTATTTTTAGTAGAGACAGGGTTTCACCATTTTGGCCATGCTGGTCTCAACCTCCTGACCTCAAATGATCCACCCATCTTGGCCTCCCAAAGTGCTGGGATTACAGGCATGAGCCACTGCGCCCGGCTGCTAATTTTTGTATTTTTTATAGTGATGGGGTTTCACCATGTTGCCCAGACTGGTCTCAAACTCCTGAACTCAAGCAATCTGTTCACTTTGGCCTCCCAAAGTTCTGGGATTATAGGCATGAACCACCGTGCTCAGCAGCATTTAAATTTTCAGTGTTAGGTTCCTGCAAGTACATTTAAAACTTTCGATTGGAAAAAACTCATTGATTTGGTCTTTAATGTCTCCTAACCTGTTAAATCCATTACCTCTACTTCATGTGGGAAAATCCAATCGGTATTGGGAGCAGGGGTTTGGTTTTCTTCTCTGGCACAGATTTGTGGCATTTGGTAGAGCGGCAGTGAATAGATGGAGTGAAAATTACCTTGCTGGTGTTAATAAAAGCTAACTTTCTTGCCTTCTAGCTACGACGTCTTTTTTTTTTTTTTTTTTTGAGACAGAGTCTTGCTCTGTCGCCCAGGCTGGAGTGCAGTGGCACAATATCGGCTCACTGCAACCTCCGCCTCCTGGATTCACGCCATTCTCCTGCCTCAGCCTCCGGAGTAGCTGGGACTATAGGTGCTTGCCACTACGCCCAGCTAATTTTTTGAATTCTTTAGTAGAGACGGGATTTCACTGTGTTAGCCAGGATGGTCTCGATCTCCTGACCTTGTAATCCGCACGCCTCGGCCTCCTAAAGTGCTGGGATTACAGGCGTGAGCCACCGCGCCAGGCCACTACGACGTCTTAAAGTCTTCTATTAAAGATTAATTCCTTTGGGTTTTGCATTGCCCTTGCCTGGTTCTTGCTTTTAAAATGTTAATGCTCTGAAGGAAAATTTTGGCATTAAGTCATTAACTCCTTAGCTGGGGACTTTGTTTATTTTATCCTCGACTTCCGCTTCTGAGCTAGGCAAAAAATGTAGGATTCTGAAGTGGAGACTTGGCACTAAAAGTGGGAAAATGACTGTCTCTTCATTTTTCCTGGCTGTCGGTTATGCCTGATGCAGGTGCTTGTTAAGTCCTTATTGAATGAATGAATGAATGAATGAATGAATGAGTGAGTGAATGCATGCATAGCTGACTGGCTATGGATTTAGGCCTTACAGGAATGGAGTTTAGGGACATAGCAGCTGACCTCCCGAAGCCTGGAAGTCCCAGGGCAGAGAGGAAGTGCTGGGTGGGTGGTATGCTTAGTCTTGACTTGTTCACAAAGCCCCTTCATCTTCCACCCTAGCCGCCAGAGCTCAGGGAATATCTGAACCCAGGTTATGGTTGGTGGAAGGGAGGGAACTGAAAATTCAATGACAGGTTTTTCCTTTGCCATGGCTAGGAATAGGGCTGACAAATGGGCTTCATCTCATTTGCCTCTCTGGCCAGTTGAAATTCCTCTCAGGAGTTCTGCATTAAGAAGGATTCTGAGGTCCAGAGAGCCTCATGGTCAGCTGGCACTGTCTGCCTGGGTTTGGGGTGGGGAAAGCAGCACCATGTATATTGGAGTCTGACCTTGGAGGACTAATTTTGTCCCTTTTCCTTCTGTCTCTAGGGACCCAACCAGAGCCTGGCCTGGGAGCCAGGATGGCCATCCACAAAGCCTTGGTGATGTGCCTGGGACTGCCTCTCTTCCTGTTCCCAGGGGCCCGGGCCCAGAGCCATGTCCCACCCGGCTGCAGCCAAGGCCTCAACCCCCTCTACTACAATCTGTGTGACCGCTCTGGGGCGTGGGGCATCGTCCTGGAGGCCGTGGCTGGGGCGGGCGTCGTCACCACGTTTGTGCTCACCATCATCCTGGTGGCCAGCCTCCCCTTTGTGCAGGACACCAAGAAACGCAGCCTGCTGGGGACCCAGGTGTTCTTCCTTCTGGGGACCCTGGGCCTCTTCTGCCTCGTGTTTGCCTGCGTGGTAAAGCCCGACTTCTCCACCTGTGCCTCTCGGCGCTTCCTCTTTGGGGTTCTGTTCGCCATCTGCTTCTCCTGTCTGGTGGCTCACGTCTTCGCCCTCAACTTCCTGGCCCGGAAGAACCATGGGCCCCGGGGCTGGGTGATCTTCACTGTGGCTCTGCTGCTGACCCTGGTGGAGGTCATCATCAATACAGAGTGGCTGATAATCACACTGGTTCGGGGCAGTGGCGACGGCGGCCCTCAGGGCAACAGCAGTGCCCACTGGGCCGTGGCCTCCCCCTGCGCCATCGCCAACATGGACTTTGTCATGGCGCTCATCTACGTTATGTTGCTGCTGCTGGGTGCCTTCCTGGGGGCCTGGCCTGCCTTGTGTGGCCACTTCAAGCGCTGGCGTAAGCACGGGGTCTTCGTGCTGCTCACCACGGCCACCTCCATTGCCATATGGGTGGTGTGGATTGTCATGTATACCTACGGCAATGAGCAGCGCAACAGCCCCACCTGGGATGACCCCACGCTGGCCATCGCCCTTGCCGCCAATGCCTGGGCCTTTGTCCTCTTCTACGTCATCCCCGAGGTCTCTCAGGTGACCAAGGCCAGCCCAGAGCAAAGCTACCAGGGGGACATGTACCCCACCCGGGGCGTGGGCTATGAGACCATCCTGAAAGAGCAGAAGGGTCAGAGCATGTTCGTGGAGAACAAGGCCTTTTCCATGGATGAGCCGGCTGCAGGTGGGTCTCTGTGGATGCCCCCAGTGGCCCCTTTCTCCATCCTATGTCTTTTACTGCAGGACAGGGATCCAGTCTCTTGAGCAAAATGGAAATTTTTTGAGGTTTTCTGTAGTTTTCTGCCTAAGTGTCTCTAAATTCCATTTAATTTAAAGATCTTTTTTTTTTCAGCTGGGCATGGCAGATCATGCCTGTAATCCTAGCACTTTGGGAAGCCAAGGCAGGTGGCTCACTTGAGGTCAGGAGTTCGAGACCAGCCTGACCCATATGGTGAAACCCCATCTCTACTAAAAATCCAAAAAAATTAGCTGGGTGTGCTGGTGCATGCCTGTAATCTCAGCTACTCGGGAGGCTGAGGCAGGAGTATCACTTGAACCCAGGAGGTGGAGGTTGCAATGAGCCAAAATCAAGCCACTACACTCCAGCCTGGGTGACAGAGTGAGACTCCATCTCAAAAAAAAAAAAAAAAAGATTTTTTTTCTATATTCATATAATTCATGCATATATTCTCACCTTAAAATTTCAAACATTACAGATAAAATGAAAATTTCCCCAGCTGCCTTCCCAGTCCTACCCATCCCATCCTATTCCATCCCCCGAAGTGAGCGCTATTGACCGATATAATATCTATGTGCCTCCGTTTCTCCATTTGTAAAATGGGGATAATGACAGTGTCTATTTCATAGGGTTCTTGTGAAGATTAAATTCATTAGTGCCGGCTGGGCGCTGTGGCTCATGCCTGTAATCCCAGCACTTTGGGAGGCTGAGGTGAGTGGAGCTTGAGCCCAGGAGTTTGAGACCAGCCTGGACATAGTGAGACCCCGTCTCTACAGATAATTTTAAAAATTAGCCAGGTGTGGTGGTGCACTCCTGTGGTCCCAGCTCCTCAGGAGGCTGAGGCAGGAGGATTGCCTGAGCCCAGGAGGTTGAGGCTTCAGTGAACCGTGATTGCACCACCACATACCAGCCTGGATGATCTAAAAAAAAAAAAAATTACTGAGTGCCTGGCCCATGAAAAGCACTCTTGAAGAATTAGCTATTTGCTGTGTGTGCGTGACTATTATTTTACATATTTTACTAATACCATCTCTCCAGAACTTGTTTTTCTATTATGTATGTATCCATAATCACCTTAGTTTTCTTTAAAAGGAAGTATTTTTCAGATAATTTTTTTTCTCTTTTCATTTTTATTTTTATTTTTTGAGACGGAGTCTTGCTCTGTCACCCAGGCTGGAGTGCGGTGGCGCGATCTTGGCTCACTGCAACCTCCGCCTCCCAGGCTCAAGAGATTCTCCTGCCTCAGCCTCCCAAGCAGCAGGGATTACAGGCGTGTACCACCACACCCGGCTAATTTTTGTAGAGACGGGGTTTCATTATGTTAGCCAGGCTGGTCTCGAACTCCTAACCTCAAGTGATCCATCTGCCTGGGCCTCCCAAAGTGCTGGGATTACAGGTTTGAGCCACTGCACCTGGCTTTTTTCTCTTTTTAATAAAAGTACTTGGGGTGCCGCGCAGTGGTCTCAGCAGCCCACTAGCATTTCCTCAGCACCTTCTCTGTGCCAGCTCCGGTGCTAATCCCCTTACCTATGTGGCCCGTTGTGCGCTTCCCACCTGCTCTTCCTCAATCTGCTGGCTGCAGCCCCTCATCTGAAAATGACCTGGAAATCTGGGGGTACCATCTCAAAGGCGTTACCCTGTCCCCAGACTGTGCTGATCTGGAGGCCTGGGGGCTTCAGACTTTCTTAACTGCCCGGTTAACAAGCACCGGCTCTGGGGTCTCTGCCGGGAGGTCAGAGTCAGGCAGTGGAAGTTCCAGAATTAGAGACATTCCTTTCTCTTCTACAAACTCTGAAATCCTCATAATCCCTGCTTTGGGGAAAGAAATGACCGTTGTCCTGCCGGGCACTTGATCTTTGATCTGCCCACCAGGGCTGAGGTGCTGACCGCAGCCCTAGGTGGTCCCTGTCACACGCACAGTGTGCGTGGGGGCACGGAATCGGCAAAACCCACCGGAGAGGCGGGGCTTATGGACAAGTGCTGGGAGGAGCCTCAGGCCCCGCCCCCACACCGAATGCCTGTCAGGGCCAAATGGTTCTCAACCTTCGGGCTGAGTTTTTATTTCCTATTTTCTTTTTTTTCTAAATGGAAAAATCAATAGAGTGAGCCCAGCCTCAGCACTTAGGAAACCCTATATAGGTTGCGGTCCCTCAGAGCTGCGGGACCGTCAGCCTTGCTGGAGCCAGACATCCGCTGTGCCGTCCTCACAGCAGGGCCTGCTCCGAGGCCCCGGGGTGGGTCAGCAGCCCTCCTCAAACACCCTGGGAGTGCCCAGCAGGGCGGAACACATCGGGAAACCAACACCCCAAAGGCACAGGGAAGTATCCCTGGAGCTAAAAATAGTTCTGGAAATTTGCCAGGGGGCTATAGGATGGGACGTGCGTGAAGGCTCCCTGGCCAGGCTCCGGGTTGGTGTAGTGGGGAAGGGGCACCCAGGTCGGCCTTGGGAGGACATGAAGAGGCTTAGGCCGTGGGGTCTCAGATGTATTTACCCCTGCGCCTGGCAGCTGGCCCATGGTGACAGGCAGAGCTGGAGGCTGGCCATCTTGGAAGGTGGCCGAAGGTCCATGTGTCCTCTTGGCCCCTGGCCCTGGAGGGCGGATGGGGATGTGGAGGTTGCTGACAGAGCATTTTCTCAGGTGTTGGGTCAGGGGCTGGGGGGTCTACAGTGCAGGGAAGCCCAGCAGTGTTGCTCACTCCCATGCATCTGTACAAAGGGGTGCTAGGTTTGGGAGGGGGCCCCTGTGTTCACAACCTCATCCCCAACTTGGCCACTCCTGGGTTAGAGACTATGCCAGGGTTGGCCTGCCCCCTGTACCTCTTCCCTGCCCCCAGAGAGCCTTGCTTGGCTTGTGGGAGGTGGGGAAGGGAGCTGAGAGCCCTGGGATCTTCAAACTGTTCCTGCTTTTCCTTGCAGCTAAGAGGCCGGTGTCACCATACAGCGGGTACAACGGGCAGCTGCTGACCAGTGTGTACCAGCCCACCGAGATGGCCCTGATGCACAAAGTCCCAGTAAGTGGGTTCCCCAGGTCCCCATGATGCAGCTGGGCTACAGACACCAGTCTCAGCAGGCCAGCGGGAGAGGGCCATGTGGCCAGAGCTGGGTTGGGTGGAGATGGTAGGGGGAAGGCAAGCTTCTCCATCTGGTGCTTCTACCTGGGGAATCCAGAGCCCCAGTTCTTAACTTCCTTGTCCTGGAGTCAGCGTACCCACCACCTCCAGCTGCACTGCAGTGGGACCCGCCCTGTGTCACTGGGGCATTGCACACAGGCTCTGTCAGGAGCTACAGGGAATGCTGGGTGAGCTCTCCCTGGTGGGAGCTGCCAGCTTTACCCTGGAGAGCTTGTGGAGGGACAAAGGAGGGTCTCAGCCAGGTGTTTGCAAAATGGATCAGGGTCCAAATGTTGCAGGTCTGGATAGGTGTTTACTTATCAACCACAGCTGTGCCAAGGGGGCCCACGACTCCCCTCCTGCTCCGGCAGGGAGCAAGTCTCGACCTTACACCTCCCCTGGGTTCTGGAAACTAGATGCTTCATTAGCCAGGGGAGGGGATGGGAGCAGGAAGACAGTGGGTTGGATTCTACTCGCTCCTGTATGTGTTCCTCCTCCCGGCTGGCAGAGGCTGTGGGGAGAGGTCAGTGACCCGTCTTGGCAGGACACTGGGAACAGGAAGCAAGGAGGTCAGCCGGGTGGCGTTCTCATCCCCCTCCCCGCCCTCTCTGTGAGAGCCGCAGGGCAGGGGGAGGCGAGTGTGGCTGAAGCCTCCAGTCCCAGTGCCTCCCCTCTCCCTGAGCCTGAACCTGAGCCTGGGCAGAGGAGAGTTTCCGGAGGACCAGGAGTGGAGGCTGCGGGCCGCCAGCTCTGGTGGGGAGTGGGCAGCCACAGGAGCTTTTCCTGAGTAGCTTCCCTCACTGTTGTTGTGCCTCACTCCCCAGCACCTTTGGAGTCTGCTTCCTGGGGGATGATCTGGATGAACAGGGATATTTTATCTGACTGGTTCTCAAAACATGGTACCCGGACCACCAGCATTAGCCTCACCTGGGAGCCTGCTAAAAGTGCAAAGGGGGCCAGGTGCAGTGGTTCACATCTGTAATCCCAGCACTTTGGGAGGCTGAGCAGGTGGATCACCTGAGGTCAGGAGTTTGAGACCAGGCTGGCCAACATGCCGAAACTTCATCTCTACTAAAAACACAAAAATTAGCCACGCATAGTGGCACATGCCTGTGGTCCTAGCTACTGGGGAAGCTGAGGCCAGAGGATCCCTTGAACCCAGGAGGCGGAGGTTGCTGTGAGCCGAGATTATACCACTGCACTCCAGCCTGGACAACACAGTGAGACTCTGTCTCAAAAAATAAATAAATAAGAAATAAAAAAAATAAAAGCGCGGATGGGACGGGGCCAGAGCTGGGATGTTAGCATCCCTTCAGGGCATCGGCACCATGGGGGTACTACTCAGCGCAGATCCGTAAGCCCTGCTTTCAGCACTCCCTCCCCCAGCCCCAGTTGTTGCCAGCTGCGTGGGGCCCGCTGTGTAGGGTCCGGCTATGAGTCGGTGAGGCTTATCAAGCAGTGTAGGTGATTCCAGTGCATACTCATTCGTGGATTGGGGCCACGGATGTAGATGTTCCAGGGGCCACGGGGACAGGGGCCACTGCAGACAGGGCTGAGGACCTCCTGGGCCTGATTGACTTGAAGGCTGGTTTGGGGCCTGGGAGCTACAGAGATTTGATTGGTGGCAGCTCTTTCCCATAGGGCTAAGACAGATGGGGCCGGGAATTCACCTTCCCTCCAGCATGGGAGCCAGAACAGGTACCTCAGGACCCTCTTCACCCCACAGCTGGTGTCTCTCACCCACATGGGAGCAAGACCCAGCGCCAGGCAGAGAATTCAGGTTTCAAGACTCCAAATCAGGGCTGGATGCAGTAGCTCAGGCCTTTAATCCCAGTGCTTTGGGAGAGTGACATGGGAGAACTGCTTGAGGCAAGGGGTTCGAGAGCAGCTCTGGCAACGTAGTGAGACCCCCCTCAATCTCTACAAAAAAAAAAAAAAGACTCTAAATCAGACCGGCCAGCCTAGATGCCTAGAGAGATGTGTGGGCACACCCAGAGCCATGTCCTCGGCCAGGGGAGCCGGCAGCTGTGATGCTGGGGGTATGGTAGTGACAGGCGGTAGACTCGGGGTAAGATTCTTGGAGGAAGGGGCCTGGGAGCTGTACCAGACAGGTAATAGCAGCTCTATGTGGCTGACCCTCCACTGGCCCTAGCATTTCCCTAAACAATTAGAAGCGGGAGGGGGCTTGAGAAGAGGACCCCCCTCCATGAAGCCCCAGCACCATCCAAGGTCACCAGGGGCCTTGTTCCCATGCCCAGAGGCAGGGCAAGATAAGGGGCTCAGGTCTGGCTGTCCCAGGCCGCCCCTGGGGCCCAGCCAGAGGGGGCAGAGGGGCCGAGGGGGGAGTCGGGGGGGATCTGGCAGGCCCAGCCCTGCAGGAAGTGAGTGTTTGTGCATCCGCCCCGGCGGAACCTGGCTCCCGATCCCCGACTGTGAGACCGCCTGTTCTTCCTTCCAGTCCGAAGGAGCTTACGACGTCATCCTCCCACGGGCCACCGCCAACAGCCAGGTGATGGGCAGTGCCAACTCGACCCTGCGGGCTGAAGACATGTACTCGGCCCAGAGCCACCAGGCGGCAACACCGCTGAAAGACGGCAAGAACTCTCAGGTCTTTAGAAACCCCTATGTGTGGGACTGAGTCAGCAGTGGCCAGGAGAGGCGGGCGGATTTGGGGAGGGCCCTGAGGACCTGGCCCCAGGCAAGGGACTCTTCAGGCTCCTCCTCCCACTGGCAGGCTCAGCAACATGTGCCCCAGAGCTAGAAGGGCCTCCCTCTCTGCCAGTGTTCCGGTGGGTGTCCTGGGTGTCCTCGCCCACTCCTCAGTGTTTGTGGAGTCGAGGAGCCAACCCTGGCCTCCTGCCAGGGTCACCTCCGCGGTCACACTCCAGCCAAATAGTGTTCTCGGGGTGGTGGCCGGGCAGCGCCTATGTTTCTCTGGAGATTCCTGCAACCTCAAGAGACTTCTCAGGCGCTCAGGCCTGGATCTTGCTCCTCTGTGAGGAACAAGGGTGCCTAATAAAAACATTTCTGCTTTATTAACTCTCGCTTTGGGATTGTGGTTTCTGAGCTGGGCTCCTGGTTTCTGATGAACTTCTCCTCCTCCATGGCCTGTGGGTGACTTCTCTTTCTTCCCTCCAAATCCAGCTCATATTTAAAGCTGCTGCAGATTTTTCCTGTGCAATTAAGTAGCTGGTGCCTCTCCCCAGTGAGGGGTTCTTTAGCAGGTCCTCTGTCTGTATTGTGTGCAATCAGAATGAACACCCAGGCTCAGTGTGTGCCTAGGATGCAGTCCTACACCCGGGCTTGTCTGAGGTCAGGCAGCTTTCCTCTGGGAACCCCCCTTCAGTGGCTGCAGGGACAGGACTGGGAAGGTGGGCCTCGAGCAGGTGGCTCTGCGTATAAGGGAAGATGAACTAATTTCAGCTTCTCCTGGGATGAATAACAGTGAAGATCCCATAGCGGACAAAGTGGAGACTCATTCTGCTCCATGCTTTGAGATCACACCGTGTGATACGTGCAAAGGAATGGCCTAGAGAGGGTTAGGAATTGTTTACAAATGGGTTGACAGAAGTGCAAAGGGTTGGGCCAGGTCCCGGTTGGGTTCAATCCTGAGCGGTCATTAAAATGTCCATTTGTGCAGGGCGCGATGGCTCAAGCCTGTAATTCCAGCACTTTGGGAGGCCAAGGTGGGAGGATCGCTTGAGCCCAGGAGTTCCAGACTAGCCTGGGTAACATAGTGAGACCCTGTTTCTACCAAAAAAAAAAAAAAAAAGTGTTTTAATTAGCCAGGCATTAGTCCCAGCTACTCACGGGGCTGAGGTGGGAGGATCTCCTAAGCCCAGGAGGTCGAGGTTGTAGTGAGCTGTGATTGCACCATTGCACTCCTGTGTGGGCAACAGAGCGAGACTCTGTCTCAAAAAAAGAAAGTCAGTTTGCTCAGTACTTTATACTAAGCAAAAGCCTTTCCTCAGCAGCTCATTTTTTTTTAATTTAATTTAATTTTTTTTTTTTTTTTTTTTTGAGACAGAGTCTTGGTCTGTTGCCCAGGCTGGAGTGCAGTGGCGCAATCTCAGCTCACTGCAACCTCCGCCTCCCAGGTTCAAGTGATTCTCCTGCCTCAGCCTCTTGAGTAGTTGGGATGACAGACATGTGCCACCACTAACTTTTTGTATTTTTAGTAGAGACAGGGTTTCACCATGTTGCCCAGGCTGGTCTTGAATTCCTGGCCTCAAGTGACCTGCCCACCTCAGCCTCCCGAAGTGCTAGGGTTACAGGCACGAGCCACCTCACCCAGCCCATCAGCTCATTTTAATCCCCAAGGCTGCCCTGGAAGGTGGGCAGGACTAGTATGCTCTCCCTTTTCCCGACTCAAAATCGCAGAACTGTACCATTTTGGGGTGAGACAGGGCCTCAGAGTGGTCACACTGCCCCCTTTTACAGGTAAGCGAACTGACCCAGAGAGGTCAGGCCAACCCCAACCAGGTTTTCCTCAGACTCTGACGTCCAGCAGCCTTTCTCCGTGGCCCACCCTGGGTAAGCCAGTCCAGTGGGTGGCACTTCCAGCTGTGAGGATGAGACAGCAGGGTCCGACCTTTGGACGCTGCTCAAGGCCTTGCCGGGGGCTGCCAGGCCTGCCCCGGGGAGCCTGCTCCTCTCAGGCTTGGGAATGTTTCTCCCCAACTAGTCAGAAGCTATTTTCTGATACCGGTTGTAGGGGAAAAACTGTTTTTGTTGAAAGGGAGAGAAAAGTTGCTGGGGGAGAAAAAAAAAAAACCAACTTGAAAGGGAGAGAAAGGTTGCTGGAAAAAAAAATAAACTTCTCCCAAACTTCTCCTTCTGTGCTCAGATTGCATCAGCCTCCTGGGGACTGAAACACTATTTTTAGGTAAAAACTAGTGCTTGGGCCCTCCGCGGTAGAGTCCCCTTTGACTCTTGTTCTTTCTGGTCACTTTAGGCTCAGTCCCCGCAAAGTAAAACGAGATGGTAGAAGCCCTCTTCCCGGGACCGCACGGCATCCTGATCCTCATTCCTCTGTACCCAGGCTGGGCTGGGCCCAGCACCTTTCCTGTCCTTGTCATTGGAGCTGGGAGGGGCCAGAGGCCACCGACCTGAAGCAGTGGACCGAGTGGGCCCTCATGAAGCCCTGAGTGTGTGACTGGAGCGCCTAGGGCCACCTCCCTTTCCTGCCCAGCCCATCTTCCTGGTTCCCAGGTGGCTGCAGCTGCAAGGAGCTGTCCGCAGGCCCCCAGGCTGCCTCCAACTCCCCTCTTGACACCCCCTGCCCTTCACCAAATCATAGCCCCTGTGTCCCCAGGCTGTGGTTCTTCAGATTGCCATCCTCCCCTCTGTGAACAACGGGCCTCAGTGCGCCGTCTTGACTCTGGACCTTCCTGGCCCTGCCATCTTGGTGTCCGGCACTGGCTTGTCTCGCCCTCTGCCTAGATGGATCTCCTCCATGAGTCTTTGAGGCCAAGCCAGGGCAGCAGTTGGCCCTTGCCCTTCTCACCAGGGCCTCCTGCCACCACCTGGACTGTGGAAGGCCACTGAGATGGGGGCAGAGCTCAGCCCGAGGCTTGGGCACACTGCTTCTCTCCACGGCCTATGGGTCCCGGATCTGAACCCACTTGAGAGCCACTTGAGAGCCCCTGAGCCATCCCCATCTTCCACGAAGTGGGTCCCACCAGCAAGCCAGGGCCAGCCCTGCCTGAGCTCTGCCCCCAGTGCCCCTCACCGTCTGGGACGAGGATGAGCATGCTGGGATGAGGGCTCTCTTTATCCAGCAGTGCCTCATGGACAGCTCACTAAGGAGTTGGGAATGGCCGGCCACCCTGGCATCTGGGGTTCAAGGTGGCTCCTGTGGCAGGAACAGGTGTCCGTGACCCTGATTACCTGGATCTCACAGGTTCTGGGAATGCAGTAGGGGCCTGCTGTGGCTATTCCAACATCTCTGGTCAGGGCCTGGAAGTACCCTTAGGACACGTGGGGTTGGGGTTCAGACTGCATTCTCAGGGACCAGTGGAGAGCCCTGGACCAGATGAACTGGAGTCTAGGCCTCTCTCGTGACTGGGACTTGTGGGACGTGGGAGGCCCATGAGACCCAGGACTAAAGATGATGCTATTTCCTGATGGGCAGATATGTAAGTAGGTAAGTGGGATCCTCAGGTAAGTGGGATCCAGGACTAACGACTGCTATTTCCTGATGGGCAGATGTGTTGAGTTTCTACCTCATCTTGAGCAGCACCTGGATGTGCTGGCGCCGGTTCATCACTGGAGGAGCCTCTTGTGTTCTGAGCCCTAAGACATGCTCCAGAGGATCCTGACGGTCACCCAGTGAAGAGGGTGCCTTCTCAGGACCTCCATGGTGCTGGCACCGAGGATGGAGATGGGCACAGCTCCAGGCTTGTGGAAATGAGCTCTCTATAGCATTGTCTTCCTGGGGTTTTTCCTGCCCTTATCCAAGGTGGGCCCTAGAGCTCAGTCCCCAGCCCAGCAGCACCTCTAGGTGCCAGGGTGGAGGGTGACGACCAGAGCAGCTCTCTGGGGGGGGGTGCCCTGTAGTCCGTCCCACAGCCCTCCGGTGCTACTCCCATCCCCAGCAGCCTGTGCCTTTGTCACTGGCGTACTTTTCCAGAGCTAAATTGGGCGCGCAATCCCTGCAGAGTAGGACTGCAGCCCTGACTGTGGCCCCTGGCCTGTCTTTGTTGCTTGCTGAAGTCCATGAACAGAGTGTTGTTTCCCTCCAGTGGAAGGGAAGCAGGGAGCTCTGTGGACTTCACACTGCGCTTGGTCTAGCTTAGCAGCCCCGAGATCCCTTAGTGAATCGAGGCGCTGTGTTGCTTTCCTATGTGATAATTTCAAAGGAGTCCCTGGCAGTGCCTGTTGCCCAGAGGCTGCAGTCTCCAGTGGACGCGGGTTTGTGTATAGCCTGAGTCCTCTGGGGGCTCAGCTCGTGAGGCTCAGGGTGGGATGGGCTCCTAAAAGATGCAGGCCTGCCTGTATTCAGGAGTACCCACCGGCCCTGCTTACTCCTGCCCGGGCCAAGTGGAGAAGTTAGATGAGTTCTTAGGAGGAGAGAGGTAGCTTCTTTGAGGTGGTCGAGTGGCATCACAAACAAGCATTGAATGGAAGAAAACTGGAAGAGGCAGAGCCTATCGCAGATTCACCATCATCCAGCAACACCGTGGGAAATCTCACACCCACCACTGTCAAACCGAGGACTTTGGACTTCCTAACTGCTCAGAATTAAATGACCTTACCCTCCGTGGGTGAGGGCTTACTGCCACTGAATTCCTGTGTGTTCATAAATTCTTCTGGGAGTGACTAGTTTTTTAAAAATTATTATTATTTTATTTTTAGAGATAGGGTCTTGCTACGTTGCCCAGGCTGGTCTCAAATTCCTGACCTCAAATGATTCTCCATTTCAGCCTTCCGTGTAGCCGGGATTCCAGGTGCCTGCTCCCCCACCCCCACCCTGCCTCTGGGATTTTTTTCATGTGTATTTCCCTGCTAGTCCTCTTGCTTTTTATACCAACAAAGGCTGTTTGATTCCAACTAACCTTTTTCTCTATTGGGGAAAACCAGGCCTCCAAAAACCACTGAGCTCTCAACCAGTCAAGGCCAGAGAACTCTGACACCTACACAAGATGTGAGTGGGGAGGGGGGCAACCCCAACAGTATCCCTGTTGCTGCCTGGCATGGCTGGAAGAGGCAGCCAGGACACCTATTGGGTGAAATTCTCAGTGCACAGAAAGGCATACCAGAACCAGGGATGGCTGATAAATCCCCTGGGCCATGAAGACCTGCCGAATGCCATGCCTGACTTTCCAGTTTACTCATGGCCCTGCACTTGTTCGTCAGCCCCTCGCAGCTCATAGAAGAGAGCAAGCAACGGAGGCTAAGTGCCTGTCCCGTGGGGGTGCTGCTCGGAAGGGTCTGTCGGCCCTCCAAGCCATTCTCGCCAAGGCCAGCATTTTCACTAGCCCCAGAGGACGCGCCAAGGTCAGGCACAGGTGCCAGGGACCAGAATGTGTTTCCTGTCTGCTGTCTCCACTCTGGGCCCTCCAGGAAGCTGCAGCCCCTGTTCACAGCAGCTGCATGAATTATTTAGCACCTGCACCAGACCGGGAGTGCTCTGACCTCATCCTCCTTGGGCTCGGGGTGCGGCTCTGACCTCATCCTCCTTGAGAAAAGGTTGCTGATGGGCAGAGGCTGGAGCGGCGCGTCCCTCTGGGGTGCGGGGGATTGAAAGGGAGACATCAGTACCCTCAGAGAAGGAGGTGGGGAGCAGGGACCCATGCCCTTGTAGCAGGAGGCAATTCTGCAGCACGGAGAAAATATGACTTTGGAATCAGAGGCTGTGGGTTCGGATCCTGGCTGTTAGTAGTTCTGTGACCTTCGGCAGCTCCCTTAGTCCTTCCTCAGTCTTCTCATCTGAAAAATGGGGGTACCAGCCTCCTGAGTTTGTGTTTAGCGTTCTGTCCCCTCCAGGTAACCCCCATGAAAGTCACAGCCAAGGCAGAGCATCCAGGCACCATCTGCCCAGTGTTTCCTGCCCAGACAAGCAGGTCTTCCAGCCAGATTTCAGTTTGGCACCTCCTGGTGCCACATCCTCCCTTCCCTCTGCGCTGCCTCATGCCCTGGGTCCCCAGAGTGGGTGGCTTGGCAGGTTGCCGCGATTGGAAGAGGATGCTAAGGAGAGAGACCCTTGGCAGTGCCCGCGCCCTGACTGGCAGGGGAGAAGGGCTAGCAGAGGCGTTAGGAGGGTCACCAGCTGCACAGGAAGTCTAGGAAGCTAGGCTGAAGAGCTGGGACAGAACTGCTTTCTGACAGCAAAGTCCACTGTCTACTGGGTGGACGGGAGGCAGTGGAGATGAGAGGGATCTGGTCCCTGCCCTCCTTTGCCAGGTCAGGCCTTAGGGTTGAAGTGGGAGTGGCCATGTGAGTCCCAGCAAATGCGTTTTGGGATTAAGCAGGCAGGTGCCTTCAGCAAGCTTCCCCGGGCATCCCCTCCTCAAGCGGCACCTTCGTGGCGGGCAGGGCATCTCGGACAGGTCCTGGCTCCAGCTAGCTCTGTGGCCTTGGACAGCTCCCTTGACCCCCACCCCCACCCCCACAAGGGTTTCCTCATCTGTAAAATGCACCCCGATGTCTCCAGCTCTGTCTAAGCCCTGGAGTTGGTGTCCCCAGCAGTGGAGAGGGGACCTAAAGCCACAGATACACCCCTAGGGGTTCGGACTCAAAGTCTGGAGCAGAACCGGGCGGACACAGGGTCACCGCCTGGCTGTGCTTTGGACAGAGAAGCTGGGTCCCGTCGGGGGTGAGTGGGGCCTGTCCCAGCCGGTTGTCCGCCCCATCCCCCCACCTCTCACCCCCGCAGACTCCTCCAAGCCAGGGGCCTGGAAGTGGCTCCTTCTTCTGATTCACCCAAAGGCGACAGTGGCTTGCCTCATCCCCAACTCCACCGACGGCATGAGAGGGCCATGGAGGCCCGGGCCCAGGGAAGGTTTTACGCTCCGTCCTTAACCCAGCGTCATAATCTGACCAGGTTGGGAGAGGGCGCGGGGCCCCGGAACCCCAGCCGCACACAGCCCACTTCTCCGCAAGCACCTGGGTCGGGGGAGGTGGGGGTGGGCCCGAGCAGCAGGCGCGCCCACGTGCCTCTCCCGCGAGGGCCCGGCCACCCCAGCTCGAGCCAACCCAACGCCGCCTCTCGTGCCCCACCTCAAGCCCCGCCCCAGCCCCTGCAACCCGATCTTCGCCGCCGGGCGGCGGCCGGAGCCAGCTGTCCCAGCGCCTGCTGTAGCCTGGGGCCGGGCCGCCGCGCTCCGCCCCTCCCCGCCCTCAGAGCCGGGCCTCGCAGCCGCCGGGGATTGCTGGGGCCGCATTCATCCATGTGTCTCTCAGGCCAGCGCAGAGACGGGGGTGGGGTGGGTTAGGCCAGGGAAGCAGGCCCCTTTTCCCAAGGGAAGAATCCCCTCCCGGAGGCCCGCCGGGTCGTGGAGTTTCCACGGGTGGACGTAGTGGGGCCGAGGGCACGGGGAGCCCTGCCGCTGCCTTATGTCTGGCTCTAGACCGGGGTTCCTCGGCTCCACCAGCGACATTTGGGGCCGGATCGCTGTGTAGTGGAGCTGGCCTGGGCACTGCAGGATATTATCCCTGACACCCTCCACTGGATGCCAGGAGCACAGTCAGCCCCCTAACCGTACAAACACAAACGTCTCTGAACACGGCTAAATGTCCCCTGGGGGCAAACTCTCCGGGTAGAGACCCACTCCCCGAGGGTTTTATGGTGGGCATTTGAGGCAGCCACACGGCCTGGGGGCCGGGAGCCCGAGGTCCCTGCAGCCAGGACGCTGGTGCTGGCCTCCCCTTCTCCCCGCTGCTGCCAGCTGCTTCAGGCCGGCCTAGGGACTGTGACCCTTGACCTGACAGTATTTCGGCAGCATGTGACCTGCCAGGCTTTCTCACCATAGGGTGCCCCCCACCCTGATGTGGGTGCTGGGACAGGGGATGCTGGGGACAAGCCCGTCACTAGCAGTCAGGCCAGCTGGGGCACCAGAAAGACATTCAGGCACTGGGTGTCCATGGGCAGCCTGAGTTTCCCCAGGAGAGGCTGGGCTGAGGCTACCGTGTGAGCCCAGGGGCTGTCAGGACTGAAGGTCAGAGGGCATCCTGGCCCACAGGGTCCACCCCTTACACACACACACACACACACACACACACACACACACACACACACACAGGGTGGGGCGTGGGAAAGACAAAAGGAGTTGGTCCCAGCCGGGGAGGATCCCGCCCTGTCCCTTCACCAGGCCCATTTGGGGGCGGTCATCAGAGCCAGGAGGGCCGTGAGAGGGCTGGGGCAGGGCACTGTTGGCCCCAACCCCCATCTGCATGCCACCCTGCCATGCAAAGCAGAATTTTCAGAAGAATCCAATTCCAGACTTCACAGGGGAGGTTTTAGTAGTCCCCCTCCCCCTGTGTATTCACAATTGGCTGTATTTGCATAGGAAATCTGGAAAGAGACAAAAGGCACCGTAGCAGATGTTAAAGTGGACCATTGGTGGGGTTGGCCAGGGGTGGCGGAGGGGGGAAAGGGGCTGGGTGTGGGGATGGAAATCCACAGCTACCAAGCAGATGAAGGACAAGAAGATTTTTTGTCTTGTTTTGCTTTTTCTGTCTCTCTTTCCTTTCTCTCTTTTCCATGAAAATAAATTACGTAATTAAAAAAAGTTCATCTGAAAGAAAGAAAAAGGGCCAGAGGTAGCAGTGGCCCTCCATCAGCAGCTGCAGTGGCCTGCGACGTCCCTGCCCTAGCCCACACAAAGACCAGAGTGAGCTACTCTCAGCCACGCTCCCCTTCCTCATCTCTCCCCCTGAGAAAGATAGGCCAACTTTTACCCTGCCTGGATTTTCAACTCATTCTCTCCTTGGGAGGGTTTTCAAGGAGGCTGGGGTGGGGAGTGTGTGTTCATTGCATGTATGTGGCCTGGAGCGCCCACCCTCCACCCAGCCTTGCTAAATGATTCTTCGAAGGCGGAATTAGATTTACATTCGTGGAGTAGATTGGTGTGCTGTTTCTCCGAGTGTAGCTCATCGTTATAAAACACGCCTTGTCCCATGGGGCAGACAGCAACAGACATGGGAATAGCATTTGGCTCATTAATTCATTCGTTCATCAGGTTTTCATCCATATTTATCAAAGGCTGCTCCGTGCCATCATTCTAATTAACATCGATTCTCACACTGATCTCTCTCCTAGTATCCCAGTCTGTGTGGCACACAATTCTTTCACCTCCTCAAATCTGAGGCTTCTATCTCCCCAGCTCACTGCAGCCGGGTGTGTTGGGTCTCTGAGGGGAACCTCTCACTGTGTGTGACAATTCCTCAGCTACTTGACGGTGTCCATAGATGCTGACCTGCTCTGAGGTCTACAAGGGCAAAGACACCCCCATCCGTGTGTCTGTATTCATGTCCCTGTGTTGGGGATGAGGGTTCACTGATGGGGACTTTGGTCACCTGGGGACAGCTGTGTCCCGGCTCTGAAAGTGAGGCTGGTTGGCCAGGCATGATGGCTCACACCTATAATCCCAACATTTTGGAAGGCCAAGGCAGGGGGATTGTTTGAGGTCGGGAGTTCAAGACCAGCCTGGCCAACATGGTGAAACCCTGTCTCTACTAAAAATACAAAAATAAGCCGGGTGTGGTGGTGCTCACCTGTAATCCCAGCTACTTGGGAGGCTGAGGCAGGAGAATCGCTTGAACCCAGGAGGTGGAGGTTGCAGTGG